GATTGGCGACTCCAGAATCCTTTATTCTGGCACCAATACAGAGCCAACCATTAGGTTATTATACACAGGGTCTGAGAATAAATGTTATAACAATAAATCATGATAATACTTCTGATAGTTTTTCTCTCTTCCACCGAACAGCGAACGATGAAACGATGACTGGCTTATTGACGACTCTCGCAAAAATTATGGGGGAGTTGGGTTTGAGCAAACAACCGCGGATTGGTCGTTCAACCTTCAACTATGTTGACAATAGTTTTGTTTTGTTTTTCGTTCATCCGGAAATACAAAATCATTTGTAACAATGAATATTACATACTTTCTGCTCGAATTTTTTCACTGTTTATTTTGAACTTGACTTTTACAGGGATAGGAACTATTCATTTTTTAATTTTCGCACATTTTCATTTGCGTATTTAACTGCGCTGAATAAAGAATCTCCCTCTGCGGTTAAACTAAGGCATTTTGTCCTAATTGCTTCTGCTGTTTGTTTAAGAAATATACATTCAATATCAACTACCGTCGTCACACACTACATGCTCTATCAGTGGAGCGCTCTGTGGTTGTGAATGTAGTTGAAGATTGAACGACCAATCCGCGGTTGTTTGCTCAAACCCAACTCCCCCATAATTTTTGCGAGAGTCGTCAATCAGCCAGTCATCGTTTCATCGTTCGCTGTTCGGTGGAAGAGAGAAAAACTATCAGAAGTATTATCATGATTTATTGTTATAACATTTATTCTCAGACCCTGTGTATAATAACCTAATGGTTGGCTCTGCATTGGTGCCAGAATAAAGGATTCTGGAGTCGCCGATCAGTGTTCTGGTTTTTCGCGTTGGTTATTGGACATTGTCTTCCAGGGACAGCGTGAAATCCAATGTAGTTACGCCTGCACATTTGACAGTGGTTATTTCTATAATACTTCGTACTGATAAGTTCTTGAATATATTTAATGAATTCTTGATCCTAAACTAAAACATTTTTCGCTTAGCCTCTAGTCTAAGTCATTCATAAGCTATCGTGCGTGGGTTGCAGAATAATATCACAAATAGCTGCATTCGAAGTCCCCATAGACTAGTGTCATTCGGCGCAACGTGCTCAATCATCAGCTATTACACTATACAAAATGCGTCAGTGCCTGAATGAAATGTTACGTGATTTACTTCTATAAACATAGAATTTTATGAGCAGGGTGTCGAAGAGTTTGAGAGATAAAGTTATAAGATAATGCTCACATATTTCCTCTAGCCGCCAATTTTTTATTCCTTTGCGTTTCCGGGATGGGATTGCTAGCCTGATGCCCAACCTTCCCTCTTTACCAGTCTTATTACTGACTTAGCGAGGTAAAGGACTGCGTCGGCCGGGGTTCGAACTTCTGATGGCACACGTGGTTGGCGAGCATTTCGCCGCTGTACCTCAATTCCACTTGACAACTCTGAACCGATAATAGTCAGCAGGCCAAATCAGAGTAACACTTAAACCATTAAAAATAAGAAGTATATTTCCGGATTTTCGGTGTACAGACAGACTTAGCTTACTGGAGATCACTAGCGAACAATTGAATATGTTACAACTACGTGCCACATAGCCAATGTGCTTGATGCCATACCCCTGCTCAGCCAGTCTACTTAAACAGTGAGGGTCATCATGTAATATTGAATGATGAAGTTCGGGGGCTAATGATTTCGGGAAACCATTAACAGCCACAGTCGGAAAATTATGTGCGGCGTTCCCAAACGACATGATGCGATGATAAGAGAATGAATGATCCGTTTTGATCAAATGTATCCATTCAAATTTTTGGAAGTATCCGATAGCTCACCTTAAGCAACAAAAATACGACACTTGAAATAGAAGTGAATCTCCATGGTCATATTATGTTTTACTGGATTCATAATGTAGGCAAGTCATTTATTTCGCCGTTTATACGTTATGATCCCGAATTCAGCATTTGGAGCGTACACATTCTGCTGCATGTGAAAGTAGATAGAAAATTAGTTTCTATTTTTTACACGAGTACTCCAGCGAGGATTTGGAATGATGCCCTATTGTTAAGAAGCTATCAGAAAAGTTTCGGAATGCTCACAATAGAGTTGGGAGTACTAGATATTGAATGCAGTAAGTCAGCTGGTATTGGTGCTACATGTCACAAATATTGAGGAAATTGGAGTTTAAAGGCTTTTAAATAATTCCATAGTTATTTTTTTTATTACAGCTTGATTCCCCACTGTAATTTTGGTACAAGTATGGAATTTTCAGCATGAATATCGGTAGCCCAAATTTTACAGGCCGACCACAGACATCAGGTGTGCGTCGTCAGGGGATCAAACCTCGGACCATGTGCATGGTCGGCGAGAGTTCTAACCACTGTGCCACCGATGGACACACATATTTGGGACGTCAGCCAATATTTGTAGCCGACTATCTCGTGCACAAATATAATGACTGGGTGAAAAGTCTTGATTGCCATTCCACTCAGTCATTTTATAAATGAACTGAGCGCCTCTTTTATGGTCAGCGGGACCGTCTTATGAGATAATGGCTCTGGTTTGATTCCCAGAGAGGTCAGTGAAGTGTATTGATTGAGAGCCTGAAACCAGGATGAATTGTCTGTCTAGCGCTCAAACTGATATAAATTCATGATTTAACTTGGAATAGTTCTGAGACAAAAACAACTGCGCAGATTTCTGTGAGGAAGAGTAGGAACGCCAGGACTGTTGGTGGCCAACAATAAACTTACTTATTTATGATTTGTGATTTAAGTTAGCGAAGATATTTTCTACCTCTTGTTTTTAACAGTTGAGGTTGGTTCGTGAATTGGTTGGGTGTCAAGGTCATCCATCTATTGTAGCATTCGTTTTTTGTTGTCGCGATAAATTTCGTAAGATTTCTAGTGGGTTACTGTGTAAAAATCTCTTGTGTTTGGACAATAAAGAATAGTGCTGAACTTAAGTTACCTCATATATATGCATATATATAAATTAAAAGGCATTTTAACTCATTATAATTAAATTGTATGCACTTATCTGGCAATATACTTCAGTAGTCACCCTCACTATACAGTTACGCTATTCCATATGCACAGAAATGTAAAAAATAAACTTTTGTAAATGAATAACTCTGCAGTTGTTTACTTTTGATGTAGTTGATTTATATAAATCATATACTTTATCGTATGATATGGTATTTCTGCAAAGCTTTTGCCTTGCAAGCATCTGTGAATTTTGTGCTTACTTATCTCTCCCTAAATGTAGGTAGAACGTCGAATCCAAATGCAGAGACACCATTTTCCAGCTATAAATAAATCACAAGAGTTCGCACGAGATGCTGACGCATTAACGATTTCAATTATTTATTTTAGTCAGTTCATTAATAAATATGGTTAAAGAATCTTCGATTTTCTAGGTCAAGCTGAAATTAATATCCTGCAGTATAGTCACCTTAGTTAGGAGAGTTTGTTTCGCTCCCAAGAAAGTGTGGACAGGTCAAACTGATTTGATTGATGGTTTTCTTGGTTCATTAACTTCAGACGGCGTACAAAAGCTATAGAGAAACTAACTTTACTCTCACTGGTTATATTTGGAAAATATTGGCATAAAAACTAATAATATGGTGGCCAATAACATCACAACAAGTAGAAGAAATTAAAGAAATATTAGTGGTATGGTTGAACTCTGTAGTGTGTCGGATGGCTTTTACGTATATGGATCAAACCAATAGTCACTGACTTCATCAAGTTGTATCATCAGCCTAAGTTTTCTCTTCTGTACAATTTCGGTTAGCATATGACTGACTATGGGGTGGGGTGTTTGGTAAGTCATATAATGTCTATCTCAGACATTGTAGATTATAACCTCCAACTGTCGTTATGAATTCCAACATGCAGGTGTTTTTTTTGTCAGCTTTGCAGCCTTACCTGTTTCTGTGTGATAGGATTTGAATTCGAATATGTCTGATAATTACAGGCTCCTTTGCTTGTGGGAGTTACTATTTGTGCATTCTAACTTCCAACTTATTTCATGAGGGCTTTTTTAAAGTTCGGTCTTTCGGAGCTTTTTATCTGACTGATGAATAAAAAACTGTCACTTATGCATCTACTACTTATAATCTCCTATATCCACTAAACCATCTTATTTTTATATGTTACTACCCTTTTTCCTTCACGTTTCTGTTTATTATACCTATTGTGAATCTTTTCTTCGTATTTGTATGATACATGGAGTGTGGCAACTTGAACTGCTGAACTTCTGTTGCAAGATCTGTGCTAAAAATTAATCGGTCAGTGATTCGCCGGATGTATCTATATAAGAGGCGTAGAGGTCAAAGAAAAAGCTAAAATTATTAGTCCCTCTGTTTCTGTTAATTATTGTCATAAGCTTCCTCGCCCCCCCTGCTGACTTACCACTGGTCATTTTGTATAGTGCACGGATAATACTTTTGTTGCGCAACTTTGATAACTGGCAGTCCTAAAATAGTCTTTAACAATTCCAGTACCATTGTCACAACAGAAGGCAAGACACGGAATCCAAGGTGTATTTTCAAGTTATATTCTCTCACCAATCATTGAGCGTGTGACTTTGGCTCACAGTAAACAACATGAAATAGCATGTCCAAACATATACAGTATTCTCTTGCTAATGCTGTATTAAACTTCAGGAGTATGTGTGAATAATATTCCGTTGGAACACATTATCTGTATCACATCACCAAACTATGACTAAAAGGTGTACATTTTTATATAAAACCTTTTTTTCCTAAATGGGAAGCTCAATATTTTTGCCTTGGTATTTCACTTAGTCATTCACCTGTCATGACTATAGAAGGATTCGATAACTTGGAAATACTCACATAATCCATACACAAGATTCATATTTATCATTCCATTCTTGATTTGTGTTTTTTATTTAGGTCCTTATCAATTTCTACATCCATTCAGAATTTAACGTCCGAGACTTCAGTCATCACCAGAAAGGCAACTTCCCGTCACATTATGAGTTATTATGAGCTCACTGTCGAGGTAACTATTTTTGGGACGACTGTGATTTTTATACATAATTTTACGCATAAATTTCCCTTATTGAATTTGAACAAAGCGATAACAACATTCGCAGCTTGTAATCACGTAATTCTCAGTGTCAGCTTTTGGTGTTTTCTATTGTGTAAAGTGATTATATAGGTATTTACGAAAGCTTAAAAACGTAATAGATTAACGAAAAAAACACAACTGTTTTTGCATCCAAATGCAAAGATTATCATTAGCAGGTCTTTGATTTAAAAAGATGGAGGATAATTTTAACGCTAATAAGCTTTTTTGATTTTAAAAGTTGTCATAATACTCAAGATGTGTTCTTCTAATGGTAGATATCTCACTAGGTGTCTTCATTAACTAACCAACTTAATCAAGTAACTAACATTCAACATAAAAGTCTGCAAAAAAGCATTAATCTGAATTTCGAGGGTTAAAGTAGAGAAAAACTCAACGAATCTCTGAAAGTAAATAAATAAGTGAACATAAATAAAGGTTTTCATGATCAGAAAGATGAAATACACTGCAAGTATCTGCTCCAGTGTAAACTGTATCGGGCTATTTCTCCAAGATTCTCCAATTGTTGGTTAATAACCTCTTGAGAACTATATCTAGACAACTTTCACCTTTTGAAGAACAGACCAGCTATTGCTCATAGAGAAAAGCAGTTCTCTCAGATTTTGCAAACACCGTGCCAATAAACACAAGATTGAGTTCTCGAACACCCTTAGGATCCCCTCAAACCATCTAGTGGCTATAACATCTTTCCACCCGAAACCTATTTCGGGTGACACGTAACTGGTCAAATGCGGTGGCTGGACATGTGTGACACGTACTATAGCCATCCCATTTGATGAAGCTTCATAACTTCATCGACTCGCCTGTCATCGTTACCTAAAGCTATATTTAACCTCATTGTTGCTTACAATGTTGCTTCGTCTCACCTGATTAGTTGAGCAAAGATACTTATTACCAAGAGGCCGCAATTTTTCATATATCTGACAGCAACAAACGAGCCATTTTTATTGGTGTCAAGATTTCGTCGGCAACCAGTCTATTAGGGATGATACAGCTTCCCAAAAATGCATAGTGGTTAACACATTCAATCATTTTACTTGTTATCCTTCAATTATGAGTCTGTATCAAACCGTCTTCAAGCATTACCTTACATTTAAAGGGGAGCATAACGCATACCAAATATCATCATTCAAAGTATTCAGGATACTGTACTATCATTGCTTCCACCCAAAAATGACCGTGCCATCTGTGTACTCTAAATCGAGGAGACGTTTTCCTTGTATAGAATCAAATCCTAAGGGGTGGCTTGGCCAGATGTATATCATTCAGTATGTCTACGATTAAAATGAACAGAAAAGCTAAGGTTAGGCATTCCTGAAGAGCAACGTTATTTGTTACTTGAGATGATAGGTCTCTATAAGGTCTTACATGGCTGTGGAGTGCTTTGATTAGATTAATATGGTATCTTCATCGTAAAACAGTTCTGCAACACGCAAGTAATTGAGTCAAATTCTGCTTTCACGTCAATAAGTACAACTCGTATTGGACGCTGTTAAGTATTGCTGATATTTCAGGACGTGTCAAAAAGTAAAGATTTACTCATTGCCACCCCTTTCATCCAGACATGAAATTTCCATGGGTTTTTCGAGATTTTTTTGTGCTCCAAATTCCACTCACTCCTCATATAACTATGGATATTGAGGTCTTAAATACTGTATTAGTCAGATTTATTTTCCCTGTGCTAATTGCAGAAATATTTGTCTCTTTATATGATTATGAGTAATAAATTATGCTCGAAAAGTCATCAGTAAATAATACTGTACCATTGCTTACTCTCATCAAATAAATTTATTTTACGGTAGTTAAAGACCGAACTTTCCAGCTGTCTCTTCTAAGAAGTTATCACAGTTCCACGCATGTCGCGAATCATTTTCTTTAACACTGCTATTTTAGGGCATGTTTCCAGATTGCTGGGGCCTTAACTGCTTTTCTTAATTTTGTCAACCACCTTCGCAGTGGTCATGAAGACTTTCAGTCAGTTTATGTTCGAAGAGTTCTCACTTCTCGTGTTTGAGACCTGTCAGGATGACTATCCTCTCATCATCGACTACTTCAGATGAAGCTACTGGCTTCTTCCAATTTTGACTGCAGTTTAACAATTGTCTCCATTGTTCTTATAATGCATTGGAAATTATCTCAATACTCCTCTGGATAAGTATTACTGTTATTTTCAGACACATACAGACTTCATATGCTCATCTTGAAGGTAGATGCATATTGATTTCACATATGATTGTTTTCTATATCCTCTCAGTTGAAGTAGATACATAAACAAACCAGTGTATGGTTGATATACATGTAAGTATTCCAAAAACAGTAGGTGCCTCCTACTAATCCCCAATAATCTATAATAAAGTAATCTGTTTCTGATTTCGGCAGTCGTGAGGTGAGAATGCCTTACTCTATGCTTACAGTTACTAATAGATAGGAAGAGGTGGTTCGAACAGTCGAACAAAATCTACTTTGAGATACTTTTCACCTACTGTTCCATTAGCTTTAACTTCTCTTTTCATCAGCGTAAACAAATGCGCATTTATTAAAAGGTGTAGCATGGAACACCACGTTAGTATAGCGAAACGATAACCCCGACTTCACAGGTGACCTACTCAGTGATGTCCTTAAGAGGAGGATTTCCACTCCTTTAAGAAGAACTTTCTTTGCGGCAACACTGAGAGTATTGTTCTCCAGTCTCCCACTGGTCTACAGAGGCCCAAAAGACAAGATATTGCACCTGGCCAATTCTATGTGTATATATCAGTTCACGTGTTACTCTGGAGCAAGGTACATCGGTCGTTCGGCGCGCATCTTGTCAAAAAGGGTTAAAGAACACTATCCATCGTGGCTGCAGAAAGGAACAATCGAACATCTCCTCACCACTGGTCATTCTTTCTCAACGAACGCCTCCTTCGAAGTAATCTGCAAAGCTAAGAACAACCTGTCAAAGACAGTACGTTCCCGTCTTCTCTGCACTGCAGAAGCTCTAGCCATTCACTTAGAAGAAATAGAACTATGCATACATGAGAAAATTATTCAACCACTTCTACTATCGTAATAACAACTCTGTTGATTTGACTTAACTTTTGCTTGCTTGTTTTTTCCTAACTACTTAAAACTCTTGCGTAATTATGCATTTTATTTTGTTTACACCCTGAGCACAACTTGTTTATCAGACTATTCATGTTATTACGTAACTCTTCTTTAACAATTGTTTGTGACAATTCATCATTTTTGTTACTAGCCTCTTATATCAACATCTTATTCTTCTGAATGCTTTCTGTATTACTTAACTCCACCAAAAACTTACTAATTTTATTTTCGTTTGAAAAGTTTAATGTACACACATATACCAAATAATCATATATATTTGCGATTGTACAGCTGTAAAAATGAATTCACCGAAAAGAGACTCTTCGCTGGACTAATAGTCTTCTCTCTGTTAATATATAAATGTCACACTATTTATAGTAGTTAAAGATTACTGCAGTATTCACCATGGTGAAGATAAATAAATAAATAAATAAACCTGGGTTCAAGGCTTCCAGCCGGTTACCTCCAACCATCTAATATATCATCGAATCAATGTGCACCATGATGGCGAGCTACCTAGAATGGTGGCCACACATTGCAAACCTGACTGATAGAATTCACTCTGCACCAAAGAAAGGACTAGACACGTCACACTAGTTGCTAACTAGTGTTCAATCAAAGTACTCTTTTCGTTACATAAATTAATATCTCTTTGCCTTTGTGCTCTCCTCTCCCATCGACAACAAACAAAAGGCTTTTTCGACCAAATGACAGTTTCAAAAAAGTGTTGAACTGAAGCGGTTAAGAAGACCGGTGTAATCATATAGGAGAGTCGGAAATGCACGATTTCAAAAATGTCGATAGTAATTTGAACAAAGCAAGAATGATGAATGTGTACCAGGATAATATAGGTTCATTTGTTTTATTATTTCAAGGATTCTTCTCACACAGCTAGCTACAACCTGAACAACAATACAAAATATGTGTAAATTAAGTTAGAGATTTGAATATGCTTGTTCCACGATAACAAGGAGGCAGTTAATAGGAACTTAGAGTAACATGAGCCTGGAATAGTCTAAGTTGTTGAATAATGAAGAGTAGAAAGGATTGACTGTTAATAGGAAAACTGGACGAATATGCGTGGAAACAAAATGAAAGAGTCCAAGAGATTTTTGTGGATAGAAACAAAGTCTAATTAGAAAGAGTATAACAAATAACAGGTCAGGTAACCATAGAGAATATGTTTTCATAATACAACCAAAAAAGGTGGAGGACTGATTGAGTCATGCTTAGATGAAAGGATAGAATTTTCTAATCAGGACAGAAGGTAACTTGGTAAAGTTTGTAAACTTTTTATCACTAAGACAGTGCGAAATTCACCACTGTCTCTTTCTACGTACCTAGGTGTGGTTTTAATCGATTAACGGTGATTACCTTAACAAAACATAGCAAGCTAGGTTTCTTTTGCTTATTGATTATTTTGATCGCACAATCATACTGTTTAATGCCTACGAGTCCTTTCATCTCAAGTTCTTTGGTATGTCTTCATAAATACAGGCAATAACCCTTCTCTCTGTGTTCTTCCAATGTATGTGCTTTGCACGTACATATTAATTGGTAGACGCAGATGGAGGCAACATGAAGTGAAAGTTTGTGCACTTTTGACTATCTTAAACAACTGGTAATTTGATAAATACATACAAACTTGGTGGCTGGGTATGTTCTTTTCAGAGCAGCATCCACTCTGCATCTTATTCTACTAGAATTATCATCACTATTGAAGTCAAGCTGTACAAAGATAGAATTTTTCTCTACTGTTTTGCAATTTCTTTATTTCAACACTACATTCTCCATGTTTGTCGATAAAATTCTGTGGGTAAATATCATCACGTACGCTTTTTTCTACAATGCATAACTCTTCATCCACCTCTTCTTACACAATGAAACAAAGTGATATGTATCCATAATAATAATTATGATTATTAATAATCACTTTTATCCATATAATATGTGTGTTTGTTTGACAGTCTGATATATTTTGCTATGTATATATGGATCGATATTCCATTATAATTAGCCAATCATGTTAAGACTGTCTATTGATTTGTTCATTTTGAATATTCGCTCACACATCACACACTTGTTCGGATATTCATATTTTTGCTCTCACACTCTTGTGTGACATTTTGATTCTCCTTGTGTTTGGAAAATAGAAGTATCATCGTAAACCTAGTGGTCTTCTGATTTCCGTCTTTCTTGCGTCAGGACTATTAAATTCTCGACCAGTACATGACAGAAAGTATACAAGTTTATTACGTCATCTGACCTATTTAGAAATATTTTAATTGTCTCATCTGAATGTGACTCAAACTAGCCCCCTTGTCTTACTGTTTTTTTAAAAGCATGTTTTCTGTATTTAATTGGTGGATGGTGACTAGCAGTGGAATCAGGATGCGCGTTTCGTCCTATCTGAGACTCATCAACTGGCTCGAACTATGGGCACTGGGTTCGAGCTTCGGTGGGATCATCATCACTCACTGAGAAATGCAGGTACATCCAAATGACGAGTCTCAGATAGGACGAAATGCGCATCCTGGATTCCGCTGCTAGTCACCATCCACCAATTAAATACTAATTAATTAGACATCGTCGAAGCGTCTGCACAAGAAGCTGACATGTCAACCTGAGACCGAGCACTTCGGTTGAATCTATTGGCGAGAAAGTCAAAAATTCAATTAAACATGTTTTGTGTAGTTATGTATTTAATTGTATTGTTATATTCTTTCTAGTTAAACTTTTTTTCTACCCTTAAATCTTAAATTCTATTCTCAAGTGTATGGGTTTAATAATCCCTAGGAATATTCTATCAGTTCAACTCTTGTTAGTTTAACGACTTACATCATTACGGACTTATGCTACTCTTAGTTCTTACCAGTCACTCCCTGTCCTTGTGGTAAAAGGATGTTCAAAGCTTTAATGTAATTTATGCATATTTTGTATTGTTCAGGTGGTAGCCAGCTGTGTCAGAAGAATCCTCGAAATAATTTTAAAAAAGAGTTCATATTATCCTGGTACATATTTGTCGTTCATGCTTTGTTCAAGTTTATTAATGATGAAACTTGGATCAAGTGTAATTGTTAAAACTCATTTCTTGACGTTTTTTTACAGCCTTATCGTACACTGTTTGTCTGTCCGTTTCAACATAAACTTTGCACCGATGTGCGACAGTTCGAGTCGCCACACTCTATGTAGCAGAAGAAATGCATAATAGAGACAGTAAACAGAGATGTGAGACAAAGGAATAGCAGTAACGAAGAACAAAACAATTTCACTGGAAATCAAAGTCACAAGGAGTGGATGCATCTGCGCTAGCTATTGAGAACTATTTTTAACCATGTCACCAGTTGCTTCCAACCATTTGTTTTTACCGTCCCGAGGACTCCAACCAGGAAGTCTACACCTCCCTACGTGGTTGGTCTAAACTAACTGTTGTAGATTTCATTGACTGGTGCCATGTTTTGGTTTGACCGCCACTAGCTCTTTTCCAGCCTGACCCTATATCAGCTAACATTGCCCATTGTCGAGGAAGGCGATGACGAGGCATCCGTAACACATGTCCTAACCATCTCAGTCGATGTAACTTCACAGCCTCGCCGATTGATTTCCCTTCCTTACCTAGAACTCGACGCCTAACCTCAATATTGCTCACCTTATTATACCACTTCACATGGGAGATAGAACGCAGGCACGTATGATCAAAGACAGCTAGCCGTGCTTTTCATGTCTTCCACTCTCAATTGCCAGGTCTCACAGACATAAAGGAGGACGGAGCGGTAAACCCACCCTTTGGTCGATAGTCGGATATCTTGTGTACGCCAGAGACGGTGTAAACTGGCATATGCGAAACGAGCCCTCTGTATCCGTGCTCAGATTTCGTCAGAGATCAACCCGTTGTCACTGGCTGATGGTACTTCCCAAATAAGTCAAGCGGTCAACGTGCTCTACCACTTCACCTCCTATTTCTAAACTAGGAGTCAGTGTAGTCCAGTCCTGTAAGATCATCTTACATTTGGCGGGAGCGAATCGCATGCCAAACATTCGTGGATTGCAGCTTAAGGTGTTCAGAAGACTCTGTATTTTGTCAGCGTCCTCGCGTAGAAGGACTATATCGTCTGCATATTCTAAGTCAACGAGATTATTCCCTGGTAGCAAGTCAATCCCTGAGTCGCTGAAGTGAGTTAGGCTTAAATCCATTAGTACATCTATGATGAAGTTGAATAGAAATGGGGATAATGGGCATCCCTGACTCACACCACTAGTTGCCACCACTTCAGATGACCACCCGGCGTAAGGTCTTATGTGGCTGCATGAGTTTGAGTAGAGTGCTTTGATCAGTGCAATGTATTTTCTTGGCACTCCTTTTACAGCCAAGCATCGCCAGAGTACCTCTCGGTCTACAGAATCGAATGCCGCCTTAAGGTCAAGAAATATTATATATTATCGTACATTAGGATTTCAAGTAGAAGCATAGAGTTGAAGGATTCACTATTCAAGTAATGGTTTGTAGGGATTTGACTGATTGGTTACAGGATTTCATCATGAGCTGACATTGCTTAGCGAACCATTGGAAAACCAGCTGGGAGTACTGGACAGCTGTCTCGTCCTAGTTTGGGACTCTTCATCAGTACTCACCCACTGGATTTACTATTTAGGATAACTACTCTATTAATGCTTTTGTATAGTGATTGTATTCAATATATTACTGTAACAATTTGTTTCTTCCAGCCCTTTCACAAATTTAGTAGAATCTTCAAATCCTTGGCAGACGAATTACAATGATAACGAGGTGAATGTTTTAAAAACGCTAATAGACAAAGCATGTAAATCTGGATATGTCACATTGAAAAAGTGTATTCGAAATCTCAGCTTACCACCATCACATCCTATACGTGAAAGTCTATGGCTAAAACTTTTATCTGTAAAATATTCCACAAATGTACAAGTAAGTTGTTCAATTTCTTTTTTTTCTTTCAATTTATCGCATTATACCATACAAGTCAAACGAAGTGTGATGATATCATTATGAATCGTAAGTTGTATTGTTTTACTGTGCGATTTGTTATGTGAACGGTTTAAATAACTGATTATTTACAGGTTTGGATCATTGACTTAAATACTGTGCTTTCCCGAGTTCGGGTCCCACTCCACCCGCTACAGCCTGGGCAACTAGGTAGTATCATCAGCCCCTGTAAACGGTCGGGTACGGTGGGTGGGTAGACTTCAGTCATCCTCTGTGATGCAACCACGCGTATATAGCCTCTGCCAGGTAAGTTTTATTGACCACTTTCACTCGGCGAGAGTGTCCCTTACAGAATTGAAACGGTAGATTCCAACGCCTTGCACGTGCAACTGGACTGTTGGATATGCTAGTCTACTACCTAAGGGAGCTGGGAAAACTTGATTCTGGATCTGTGTTCTACAATGGGTTCAGAATCTGAACGGATTGAATGGCATATGGATCATTTTTCTTCACTGGGAACTATGGGAGTGCAGCTTCACTGTCTTATGGATTAGGCTTCAAATCAAAGGCTCAGGGCAGGAGTATTTCCTTAGACAACCACCGGTTTCAGTCTGGGTATCTGGGCTGTATCCCAGCCTTCACACAAACTTTGACATTTTATGTGGCGCTTCTGTTGGTGCTCTTAGTGTAATAATAATTTGCTTTATTCCAAAAGCAGTACTTGTGATACAGAATGAAATTTTCAGCATTAGTCACAATATTGCATCTAATTTCTTCAAATTATAAATAAAATCAATCACACAGAAAATTTTCCACTTTTACAATAGAGGTAATGTCAAAAGCATGCAGCATATAAAATGGAAATAATAATAATGATTACAGCTAAGGTAATAATAGTAATACAAGTGAAAAGTTGCCGTGGGCTTGTGTCACATAGTATTGTCAATGCGGTACAGAAATCCTAGCATGTTTAAAAATATTGAATATAATGTTCTCTTTACATGATATGGTGAGGGGAAAAACAAAGATTACAGCCATCATGGAGATACGTTGATGTTTGCAATTATGAGAGTAAAACAAAGAAGCAACAGGACCATAAGTATAATAGAAATAATAAAAGTAAGACTTGAAAGTATATAAGGATGGATGGAGGAAATTGTTTATTTACTAGATGAAAAAAGGCTAGTTAATTCTTGCCTGACACTATTTCCATCACATGAAATACGTGACAAGTATAGTATCATAGAATTTCTATACTTAGACGTGCGAGCATACAGTTTCCTGAAGTTACTTCTTGTTCTACCTGAGGAGATGCAAGGTGAAAGCTGAGGGTAAAGTGGATGCTCCAAGTCAGACAAAATCCCTCTAGCAAATTTATTGTACGAAGTCAAGTGGCTATCAATAACAATAATAACTATGTGGTCCACTGGGACACCACTCACCCTACTGACAGTTCTCAGCATTCTATGAACTGTGACATAGTCCTTTTTAAGCAAACCAGGAAAGAATAAGGGTGAACAATAAAGAAGAATAGGTAGGATGCAAGAGTTTATGAACTGTAAGAGGAGGTGTTGAGTTATACCCGAGTGTCTTAACTTCTTAATGTAAATGTACGACGTTTTTGTTTCAAAAATAATAATGATAGTAGTAGCAGTAATAATAATAATAACAGCAGTCAGCTGTTTCAAGATAAGCGTAACTCTTAACTGGGCATATGAAAGATCTGTTCCCCGGCAATGGAAATTATGCTGTAAGAGTTTTACGTTTACATCAACACAAATCTCTAAAGACAATACTCATGCTCATTTACAAGTTCATATTTTCTGTTGCTTATCTTCTATTATTTCAAGTTTGACCATGGTTGATGATATCAGTCAAAAAACCGTTGAAAACCAGTGGGGAGTACTAGACATCTGTTTCCCTAGAGTTTGGGATTCTTTAGCAGTCCTCATCCACCAGGGTTTGAACTCAAGACCTTCTGGTTACAGGGAAAGCTCATAGACCATTTTAGCTTTTGGGATCTGATTCCTTGCATTTATCGAAGCTATTAGTTATTTCTATCTGTTACTTTAATCTTTTATTTTATTTTTAACTTCGTTACAAAGTAAATAAACCGGCTAATTATATTAAAAAAAAAACAATTAAACTTTTCTTGGCACCATCAAGGGTAGTTTCTTTTTTGGACTGGTATCCTTTTTTTATTATTTTTCACTGACTAACTTATTCGCTTAAGTGTATTATTCTGCAGTCTTTTGATAGATCGTTCATATTTAATTAAATCTAATGTCATTTTCTTAATTTACCCGTTTGGCTATATATATATATATGGCGCGGAAAACAAGGAACTGAGTAACAGACTTTTTATGAACACACCAGATTTATACACTTCTATGTACGTTAATAGTCGGTTGGGTTAGTGGATAACAGACTGTTCTGATTGGTTGTTGACTTTCTGAAGGTTAAACCTTAAGTCTTCCAATGAGATTATATCCCGACCACAACGTAAAATAAATCCAGTTTCGAGGAATAAACATTTCTACCTCTGCAACCATTGACTGAAAATGTTGTTTTGCATTTTCGCTGCTTCTTATCAGTCTGCGTTTATATATTACTGATAAATCTTGTCAGTAACACATGCCAAAAATACAGCTGCAAATATTTCTCAATTTTTTTTTTACTAAGGAATTGCTCAGTCAGTCGTTTGTTTTTCCGAATTAACTTGGTTATTTTATTGTCTATTTGGCTCAGTAAACGAAAAATAGATACGGGGGATGTAAAGTATATATATATATATATATATATCCCTTTTTCAAATCTTATATTTTGTATGAAGTACAGTAAATGGTTTGGAAGCGAACTTCCACTTCATAGCAACATTCACTATATTGTAATACAGTGTAGAATGGGACAGTTGACAAAAGCAGATAGGGAGCAAAATAAACAGTATAGAGGGGAGTATTGAACTGTCAAGGAAGTAAGTATCCAAGCTACAGAGAGATGAAGATAAATAATAAGTATGTATGAGATGTCCTACTGCGTCGGTGGCACAGCGGTAGAATGCCAGCCGACCACGCATTTGGTCTGGGGTCCAACCCCTGGTCGACGCACTGCTTTACTTTGTTAAACCAATAATAAGACTGCTAAAGAGGGAATGTTGAGCATAAGGCTAGTAACCCCATCCCGCAAAAAATAAACACCACTGCTACAGAAACTTGAAGCCTCTAGCTTGAAGCCCTATGTTCCACTGGGAACGTGAAGGAATAAAAAAATGAGATGTCGTAACTGTTTATTTTCTACAAGCAGTTTCATTTATGCTGTGTTAAAAGCTCTGGATGTCAATCGGAAGTTTCACTAGCTCAATAGTGAATTTCAAACTGTTTTTCAAATGAGTTCGCCTAAACTTTCATCAACAGCTACCTTCGTCCCATACTGGAAACCAGATGACTGGCCACAAAAGATTAGCTAAAAAGGCACTCTGAGAATAAAGTAACCAAGAGGATGGATTAAGCACATTCTGAGGAAATTATCGAGTGCTATCACACGTCATACCCTAGATTAGGATTCAAACGAGAAACAAGAAGTTTAGCATGCGTCTGATTGTGACACGGACCAGATCATAGGGAGTAGAGATGAAAGCTTATGGGGTGATCATGGAGTCAGCTCAAAACGACTAAGAGAAACGGGGTGAAATTGAGATTCACTACCGAACGCTTGTACTCCACTCAGAATCGAAGGGAATAAAAGTAATTTAGGCAAACAGTAGCTAGAGCCACTTATTAGTTATCTCAGTCGGCGTTGGTTTGTAACCTTATCACAACTACTTCGCATTACTATGTTTAGTGTGTGTAATATGCATATCGACAGACTGATGAGTGCATAAGTCTAATTTCAAAATGGTACAAAAAAGTGGAATTCTTATGTATTAACGATAATAATCACTTTATTCCAAGCAATAATTTTTCATACAGAATGGAATTTACAGCTTTGTACGTATTGTAACAAATTGTCTCCGTTACTGATAAATAAATACATAAGATAGTAAAAGTAATCAAACCACAAAAATGGAAAGCTAGTAGAAGAATAATATACGTAATAATAATTATCATTATTCTGTTTGTAATTTGCTGTTTATTCATTATTATTATTGTTCCCTTGGGTTCCTAGTGGAACCATAGGGCTTCAACTGCACGCCTCCACTTGCTTCTGTCTTCTGCTATACTTTTCACCTGCATCCATGTTAGTCCATACTGTTTCAACTCCTCTTCACACGATCTCCTCCATGTCACCCTTGCACTGACGTCCCGCTCGCCGCTTCCCTTTCGGCCTGGTTCCACTCGAGCAATGGCCTGACGCTCGCGCGATGTCACCCAGCGGCCTCCGCAGCGAGTGAGTGTCCAATCCATCTCCACTTTCTCCTGCATATTTGTTGGTTGGCGATTGGTTCTTGTTTTGTTTGTTTGTTTGTTCCCATAGTTTCTTGTTGGTGATTCTTTCCGGCCCGGCCATCTGATCTTCGGTATAGAGTGAAGACAGTTGTTGATAAAGGTAGCGTCTGCAACAGGCTGTTGGAAATATTCTTTGTGACCGCCCGCCAAGTTTCTGATTCGTATAGAAGAACTGATCGACTTGACGTGTTTGTATTGAAAATCCGACTGAACTTTTTTTGTTGATGCCGATTGACGAAGATTTTTAGGTTGGTTTCAGGTTGATGAATGTGTTTCTCGCCTTCCTGATTTTCGATTTGACATCCTCGTCCGTTCCGACTTCCTGTAGTTGAGACAACGCTCAATGCTAGATCAGCCCCAACGGGCTGATCTCTGACGAAATCTCAGCACGAATACAAGGGGCTCGTTTCGCATTTGCCAGTTTACGCCGACCCTGGCGTAGACGAGATGTTCGACTATCGACCAAAGGGCGGGTGTAATGATCATCAGTCCGCTCCGTCCTCCTTTATGGTTGTGAGACCTGGCCACTGAGAGTGGAAGACATGAAAAGACTAGCTGTCTTTGATCATAGGTGCCTGCGTTCTATTTCCCGTGTAAAGTGGCATAATAAGGTGAGCAACATGGAGGTTAGGCGTCGAGTTCTAGGTAAACAGGGGAAATCAATCGACGAAGTCGTGAAGCTACAAAGACTGAGATGGTTAGGACATGCGTTACGTATGCCAAGCCATCGCCTCCCTCGACGACCAATGTTAGCGGATATAGGGTCAGGCTGGAAAAAAGCTAGCGGCGGTCAAACAAAAACATGGCATCAGTCAATGAAATCCACAACAGTTGGTCTAAGCCACGTAGAAAGGTGTAGACTTCCAGGCTGGGGTCCTCGGGACGGTAAAAATCTATGGTTGGAAACAATTGGTGACATGGCTCAAAACCGTTCTCAGTGGCGCAGATGCATCCACTCCCTGTGACTTATGATCTTCAATGAAACTGTTTTGTATTTCTTCATTACTCCTTTGTCTCACACCTCTGCTCACTGTTTCTATTATGCTTTTCTTGTACTTTCTTCTCTTGCTTCGCGTGCTACACGGAATGTGGCGACTTGAACTTCCGCACATTTGTGCAAAGTTCTATGTCGAAAACAGACAGACAGACAGACAGAATGAGGTAACCTCTTTCAAATCCCTCCCGTTGATGGTGATTGGCACTGGATGTTGCTGCTCTTGTTGTTGTTGGTTGGTTATTTTCATAACCTCCGTCTTGTCTATGTTCACCTGGAGTCCTGTTTTCACTACCTGCTTCTTCGACCAGTTTGTCCGTTTTCGCTTGTAAGTGTTCGATTTTGTGTAACATCAAAAACAAATCATCCGCGAAATCCAGGTCTTCTAGGTTCTTCACGTTGGTCCAGGATATCCCTGTCTTCTCGTTTCCCAATGTCTGACGCATAATCCAGTCAGTCCACCACAATTAGGAATATCATTGGTGATAATAAGCACCCTTGTCTGACTCCTGTGGTTACTCCAAACGCCTCGCTGAGTTCTCCGTTGTGGATGACTTGACATGTTCCGTTGTCGTACAGCTGTTGAATAAGGTTGATGAATATTTGGGGTACGCCGTAGTACTCGAGTAGTTTCCAAATTACTTCACGATCAACCCTGTCGAAGGCCTTTTCAAAGTCTATAAAGTTGAGGTAGAGGTTTGATTGCCATTCCATGCTTTGTTCTGTGATGATGATGCGTAGAGTTGCAATTTGGTCAGTACATGATTTGCCTTTCCTGAATCCAGCTTGTCGGAGTTCTGTATCCAGTCCGTCCTTTAATCTCTCCAGGATGATGCAACTCGGAATTTTACTTGGCGTCGACAGGAGCATGATTCCTCGCCAGTTCTTCCAGAGTGAGGCGTAAGTCGCCCTTCTTCGGTAGTTTCACGAGGTAACCTTTCCTCCAGTCAGTAGGCACCTTTCCCTCCTACCAGACCTTTTGCAATAATGGAGTCAGCATGTCTGCTGTAGTCTCTGGGTCCGCTTTCAGTGCTTCAGGGGGTATTCCATGTGGTCCAGCTGCTTTTCCAGCTTTCAGAAGCTTGATTTCATTCAAGACTTCAGCTCTCGTTGGTGGATTGATGTCAACATGCAGTTGTGTACGCAGTGTTTATTTAATAGTCAAAAAAGTTTTATTTCTTCTGGTTATACCCGAAGAGATACAAGGAGAAAGTTATGAATAAAAAGGATATTCGGTATATGAGATAAGATGACTTTAGCTAACAACTGTTTGCAAGAATTAAAATGCCTATTGTGGCAACAACAAACCTGACTGACAGAATTCAGTCTGCACCAAAGATAGTCGGACTAGACAAATCAGACTAGTTACTAACTAGTTCCCAATCAAAGTATACAATACAGTCCTACAGGAGGTCAGTCGCGAGCCCGAATAACTCAGTGGTAACATCTGTGACTGCAGCACTGGGTAACTCAGGTTCGAACCTCACAAGGGACATGAGTTACTTCAAGGTTTCAGATGCGCCTTGCTGATGAGTGCCAGCTAGCACGAAACCTAGGTGGAAGGCTTCCTGCCGATTGCCTTCAACCATCTAATAACAACAATATCAATTAGTTGGGTCAAAAACACACCACTGACCCTACTTGCAGCCTTCAGTGTTCTACGTAAATATGAAATGGCTTTTTTGAGAATCCCAGGGAATAGTAAAGAAGTACTGTTCATATCAGAACAATCCAATACAGAAACGAGTGGGACAGAAATTGTCAAATCATCGGCATATTTAATGAAATCAGTTTTAGAAAAATACGACACTATTATCCCTTTGGGTTCCGAGTGGGACACAGGGCTCCACTAACATATCTCTGCTTTGTTCTATTTGGTGCTAATCTCTTCAGCTGGATCCACGATTGCCCATAATTCCTCGTCTCCTCCTCGCCACATGATCTCCTCCATGTCTTCCTCACATCGACTACCCACTCGTCGCTTCCCATTCGGATTCCGTTCGAGCGATGGCCTGGCACGCGATGTCGTTCAACAGCCTCCTCAGCGGATATCCGATCCATCTCCATTTTCTCCTACATATTTTTGTTGAGTGATCGGTTCTTGTCTGTTGGTTTGTTCTCAGCCAGAGTTTCCTGTTACTAATTCTTTTTGGCTAGCTGGTCGTTTGATCTTGGAGCATGGAGCCAGCGAAGTCAGCTGTTGGTAAAAGTCTGCAGTCTGTTGGAAATTCTTTTCGTGACACGCAGCGCAAGTTTCTGACCAGTATAGAAGAACTGACTGACTTACCATTTGTGTTGAACATTCGAACCTCCTTCTTTGTGCTGAGTCATTCCAGAAGATTTCCAAACTGATTTCAGATTGATGAAGGCGCATCTTGCCTCTCCGATTCTGTCTGGCTGGCTTTGACATCTTCATCCGTACTGTTGACTGCAGTTTAAACGATGCTTCTTAGCCAGGTAAGTGGAGGAAGTAACCTGTGTCAAATCTCTCTCCCTTTGATGGTGATTGGTGCTGGTTGTTGTTGTTGTTGTTGTCGGTGTTGTTATTGCCGTTCGTTGGTTATCTTCATCACCTTCGCCTTCTCTATGTTCACCTAAAGTCCTTTCTTCGCGGCTTCTTCAGCCAGTTTGTTGCTTTTCACCTGTAAATCTTTGAGTTTGTGTGACATTCAACATAAATCATCTGCGAAATCTAGATCTTCTAAGGTCTTCTTATCAGTGGTTCAGAGTATGCCTCTCTTCTTACTCCCATGCACAGTCTGACTCATGATCCAGTCAACCACAATGAAGAATATCATCGGTAAGAAGAATATGGTAGGTCATTCAAAAGGTAAGAAGAAAGGAAGGCAGAAAGTACAGTACCTGTAGGTATTGAAGGGCTTTTACCTTTCTATTGCGTACCTCTTCTACTGTATTCTAATATTGTAATATTATTTTCGTATTATAATCAGCTTGTGTTCAAATGAATATAATGGTGTATATATATATATATATATATATATATACATACATATATATATATATCTATATCTATTGATCTTTCGATTGGTAGGTTTCTGATTCAGACATTCAAAGCAGCAATACTCCGCTAACAAATGCTACAAGCATTGATGATGCTACTTCTATGGCCGGTTATGAATTTTCCAATCAAATGCTATTGCCTACATTCTTTTTAAATCAACTAGGTCAAAAGTATTTACGCACAATTCTGCATAGCATTTTTATTGAACGTCCAGAACTTGTTTATGCACCTCAGTTATGGCCTTTAACAGCATTATTTCTACACTATATGCCTGTTACAACTGCTCATAAATGTATCCTGATTTTACTCAATCAACCGGGAGTTTTAATTCAAACAAAATCTGCTTGGAAAGAACATTGTTTAGCCTTGGAAGAATTGGCGTATTTGTACAATTTATTACGTAGAGTGAATAAAAAACGCAGGGAATCATTGGTGATGACAACGATGAAGACGGCGCTTGGATTAAATGAGAACAATAATAATAATAATAGTAATAATAATAATAATTCTAGTATGTCTAAAATAGAAGGTATGCAACTTCAATTGGCACGGTGGTGTCTACTACTTTGGCAGTTACCGTTTGACCATCTTGTTTGTTTAGTGGATAGCTTTCTACTGGAAGGTCCAAAGGTTTTTTATCGTGCTGGCATAGTTGTAAGCTTCTTATTTATTTTTTGTTACAAATTTATTACAAGTAATTTTTATGAATATAAATATTTTGTGTTGACTACCGTAAGTGGATTGTTTGTCCACCACATGGTACCAGGTTTGATTCCTGGCTGACATACACCTAAACCTCGCTACTGAGGCGGTAGTAAGCCTGATAAAGAGGGAAGGTTGGGCGTGGGGTTAGCAAATTTATCGCGTAAAAGAGCACCACTGCTACTGTTATTGAAACATCAAAGCTTCAGCCTGAAGGCCTACGTTCATCCTGAAATGCGAAGGAACAGAGAAATTGCCTCTGCATGCATCTGCCTCTGTAAGATATTCTGTTTAATGAAGTCTATTTATGTTATTCAGATTACAGGATTTGCAATTAATAGTGTTCTCTGAGCTGGTTGGTTTAGTTGCGGAGCTTTCATCGTCCTTCTGGACAACATCCCCTTTCAGCGCAATATTTAGCATAAACTGAAATGATTTAATTTTTTCATGAATGGTATAATTGCGTCTCCCGGTAACCATCTTTACATATTTATTGATCATTTTCTATTGACTTGGATTTTAAACTGTCTGATCACCAGAGGTGTTTGTTAACTGCATTTTCTTTTGAGTACCAGGCTTCTAGGAATTCTCTGGCACATTTGGTGTTTCCTCTGTCCATTTCTCGACATTATCCCAATCAAATTGATGTCCGTAATTGTCTACGTGTATTGATATGAAAGAATATATATCGTGTCTTTTCACGGCTGATTTGTGTTCTTGGATTCTAATTCGAAGGGGAGGCCCACTTTGGCCGATGTAATGCATGTTACAGTTCATACAATTTATTTTGTAAATGGTATTAATTTTATCTCCATTTTCTGTTGGATCTTTCGGTTTGCATAATATCGAATTCAGCGATTTGACTGGTTTGTGTGCTATATCTATATCAAACGGTTTTAGTATTCTAGCTGTTATTTCAGAGATATTTTTCATGTATAGTAGGATGAATTTTTTTGTGGTCTTTGACGATGGCTCCTTGTTGGTGTTGTGATTCGAGTTTAAACACTTTTTGATCAAATTTTGTAGATAACCATTCTTTTTGAAGACCGTTAGTAGGTATTTGTCTTCCATTCTTTTCAACTCTGGAGTGCTACAGTGTGTGTTTCAACTCTTTTAAACAATGTCTGCACACAGTTTCTTTTCTGAGCAATTGGATTATTGCTAGTATAGTTAGAACTAATTACAACTGTCAGATTTTCGTCACGAACAGACATTGGTTAGGAAGAACATTGAAAACCAGCTACAAGCACTGGACACCTGTTTCGTCACTCCTACTTTGGGAATCCTCATCAGTGCGCACACACAACTCCACAAGCCACGAACGAACCCAAGAACCTTTAGGTTCCGAGACCAAACTGTTTAACGACCATTCAGTCACTTGAGCTGGCGAGTTCTTTATCAGTTCGTGAAGTAGCACTGCTCTCAAGCAATGCCCTCGTTGAGAATCCACTTAACCTTGATACATGGTGGTCGGTAGGAGATTGTCGCTCCTTCTGGAACACGTGCGTAGATACCGACCATGCACTGGTCCGCGCTCGGGTGTGCTTACGACTGAACGGACGTAGGAAACAGCTGGCGGTAAAACCATCACGTCCCCAGCTCGATCAGGAAACTAAATCCGTATTTCAGGAAGAACTAGCTAAACACATATCTGTGTTCGACAGCTGTGCTCACCCTGAAGAAGCTTGGAAAAATATCCAGGCAGCCATAGATACAGCTGTAAAAGCTGTGAATAAGGTAAACCCAAAGGTGAGTAAAAACCACTGGATCTCCACCGCCTCATCCGAACTGATAGATGCTAGAAGACTTATTCCGGCGAGCTCCGAATTCAATGAGGAGCGAAAGCTGCACAAGAGGAAACTTACGAAAAGTCTCCGCAAGGACCGTGAACAGTGGTGGGCGACAAAAGCCAAAGAGATGGAGAAAGCTTTGAGGATAGGCAACACCAGGCAACTCTTTGGACTCATCAGGGAAACGGGTGGGAGAAGACAAATCATTAGTGAGACAATCTCGGAAAAAAATGGCACTATAATTAGCTCACAGGATAGACGACTGGATCGTTGGAAAGAGCATTATGAGGAGCAGTTTAATTTGCCCACAGCCACGCTCAACCTTCCGAGCATCCAACACCTCCCTGAATGGGATATAGACACAGGTCCTCCGTCACTAACTGAGGTTACTAAAGCTGTCACCAATCTGAAACTAGGCAAAGCAGCGGGACCTGATGGAATGACTCCAGAGGTATTTAAGTACGGTGGAGACAGCTTACTGTCCGGATTAACTGAGGTACTAGGCAGCGTCTGGGAATCAGAAGAAGTCCCATCGGGTTGGTGTAAGTCACTGATTATCCCCATATACAAGAAGGGAGACAAGTCTTCCTGTGATAATCACAGAGGGATTAGCTTGACTAATATAGTATCTAAAGTCTTAGGCTCAATAATCATGCGTAGACTGAGTGGTGCTCGGGAAGCACAAACACGAGAGAGCCAGGCAGGCTTTAGACCAGGAAGAGGGTGTATTGATCATATCTTCACCCTCCGACAGATTCTAGAACATAGGCATTCCTACCGGCGTCCAACAGTCATTATATTTCTTGACCTAAAGGCAGCATTCGACTCTGTCGATCGGGAAGTTCTCTGGAGATGCTTGGCTGTAAAGGGAATTCCAAGAAAATATATTGCACTGATTAAGGCACTCTATTCGTACTCATACAGCCAGGTGAGGGCTTACGGCGAGCTGTCATCTGAACTGATGACGACCAGTGGTGTCCGTCAAGGATGCCCATTATCTCCTTTTCTATTCAACTTCATCATAGATGTGTTAATGGACTTAACCCTAGGTGACTTCAGCGATTCAGGGATTGACTTGCTACCTGGGAATAATCTCGTTGACTTGGAATATGCAGACGATATAGTCCTTCTAGGCGAAGACGCTGACGAAATGCAGAGTCTTCTAAACACCTTGAGCCGCAATCTACGAATGTTTGGCATGCGATTCGCTCCCGCCAAATGCAAGATGATGTTACAGGACTGGACTACATCGACGCCTAGTTTAAAAATAGGAAGTGAAGTGGTAGAGCACGTTGACCGCTTCACTTATTTGGGAAGTACCATCAGCCCCAACGGGCTGATCTCTGACGAAATCTCAGCACGAATACAAGGGGCTCGTTTCGCATTTGTTAGTTTACGCCGACTCTGGCGTAGACGAGATGTTCGACTATCGACCAAAGGGCGGGTGTACTGCTCATCAGTCCGCTCCGTCCTCCTTTATGGTTGTGAGACCTGGCCACTGAGAGTGGAAGACATGAAAAGACTAGCTGTCTTTGATCATAGGTGCCTGCGTTCTATTTCCCGTGTAAAGTGGCATAATAAGGTGAGCAACATGGAGGTTAGGCGTAGAGTTCTAGGTAAACAGGGGAAATCAATCGACGAAGTCGTGAAGCTACAAAGACTGAGATGGTTAGGACATGTGTTACGTATGCCAAGCCATCGCCTCCCTCGACGAGCAATGTTAGCGGATATAGGGTCAGGCTGGAAAAAAGCTAGCGGCGGTCAAACAAAAACTTGGCATCAGTCAATGAAATCCACAACAGTTGGTCTAAGCCACGTAGGAAGGTGTAGACTTCCAGGCTGGGGTCCTCGGGACGGTAAAAATCTATGGTTGGAAACAATTGGTGACATGGCTCAAAATCGTTCTCAGTGGCGCAGATGCATCCACTCCCTGTGACTTATGATCTTCAATGAAACTGTTTTGTATTTCTTTATTACTCCTTTGTCTCACACCTCTGCTCACTGTTTCTATTATGCTTTTCTTGTACTTTCTTCTCTTGCTTCGCGTGCTACACGGAATGTGGCGACTTGAACTTCCGCACATTTGTGCAAAGTTCTATGTCGAAAACAGACAGAGACAGACAGACAGACATGGTGGACCCCAGTGATTATGATGGTCTCTATGATTGGTATTGGTTCATGACGAAAATCTAACAGTTGAAATTAATTCAAAGTTACAACAGGTCTTATGATCTAAATATCAATCGCCGCCTCACTGATGGCTACTAGAGGGTTTTCCTGAAGCTGCGGTGGGAAGTGGTGACCAGTGGGACCCACTATGTCTAGGTGAACTGGATGCTTATCTAAGGTGTTAGTTAAGAGTAGCGTTATATCACGAATTGACAAAGTTAGAATCCAGGGATCTCTCTAACTAATGTTAGTTCGATGACAAAGATCTAAAAATTGTATTTATGTTATTTTTAATATATGGTTAAATGTTTAGTGGACATTACACCACACTTAATCTTGTGAAAAAAGACCTATTAATTTTTTCGTTTAACCTGTTGTTGACCGTTGAAAGCTCTTTTACTTCATATTATTATTATGTAAACAGTCATAATACTATATGTCGTGTAGTCTAGGGAACTATAAACTTTATTGATTGTCTTGTAAAAAGACTCAACTGACGAGGCACTAAAGTTTACAATATACAAAAAAACTGACACATTCCAACAGGTATTTGCATTTCCAATCAGATCATCCAACAGGAATGAAAGTTTCAGTAGCTTTAAGTCTCGTTAACAGAGCTAGAAACATTATAACAGATAATGATGATGATATGGAGAATGAGATATCCAATATAAAACAGATTTTGATTGGAAATGGTTATCCGGAAAATATATTATTATCATTGTTCCCTTGGGTTCCTAGTGGAACCATAGGGCTTCAACTACACGCCTCCACTTGCTTCTGTCTTCTGCTATACTTTTCACCTGCATCCATGTTAGTCCATACTGTTTCAACTCCTCTTCACACGATCTCCTCCATGTCACCCTTGCACTGACGTCCCACTCGCCGCGTGCTTCCCTTTCGGCCTGGTTCCACTCGAGCAATGGCCTGACGCTCGCGCGATGTCACCCAGCGGCCTCCGCAGCGAATGAGTGTCCAATCCATCTCCACTTTCTCCTGCATATTTGTTGGTTGGCGATTGGTTCTTGTTTTGTTTGTTTGTTTGTTCCCATAGTTTCTTGTTGGTGATTCTTTCCGGCCCGGCCATCTGATCTTCAGTATAGAGTGAAGACAGTTGTTGATAAAGGTAGCGTCTGCAACAGGCTGTTGGAAATATTCTTTGTGACCCACCAAGTTGCAATCGGGAAAAGCTACTAGATAATATTATCAATAAAAAAGGAGCATAAGGGAAAACAGAAAATTGAAAAATCTTTGCTATCGAGTCATCCCATATTAAAAGGACTCACACAGCTGAACAACTTCAAAGACTATATGCTTCATAAAGTATTAAAGCCTATTTCAAGCCCTCTAGTTCTGTAGACAAAGCTTTAGTGAATGCCAAAGACATGGTTCCCAAAATGTCTCGAAGTAACTGTGTCTATAGGATAAGGTGTTCAGAATGTGAAGCATGCCATATAGGGGAGAGCAATAGACAGGTGAAGGTCAGAGTCAATGAACCTAGACTATGCACGAAACCTCCACCTAGAAATGAAGTAGAATTAAAAAGTCTAGAAAAAAAGATCGGCTATAGCAATGCATGCGGTAGACAGCGGACATAAGATTAATTTCGACATTGTCGAAATTCTAGCAAGAGGCTTTAATTCAACACATAAAGAAAGGTTAACCTCTGAAGCCTTACACATTTTAACCACATCGAATGCAGTAAATAGGAAAGAAGGGATAGACTTATCATCTATATGGCAGACTCTAATGAAGCAAGACAGATGAAATAAACAACAAAAACCTCTATGAGCCTCCATTACCTTTAAAAAATGTATTATCATGTTTATCACATGTGAATCGACGGTTTTCCCATATGACAAATAACATGCACTCACACACACTCATACAGACAAATACGCACAGTGACCATTTGACATTAGTCATTACAAATGTATGCATATTTCTATTGGTACAAATGTCTATGGACAATTGACCTACAATTGACCTGACTTCAATTTGTGTAAAAGAAAATTTTTTGACTTTATATTTTGATGATTAATAAAATTCGGCAGTACGCACCCACCGGGGTTCGAATCCAGTACCTTCTGCTTACAAGGCGAGCTCGTAGACCATTGAGCCACTGGGACCCGATCCAATGGTCCTTGAATCCTAACTTCTGCCAATTCACGACATAGCGCGACCACTTCACAATGTCTTCTTCAATGAGTTACTGCCTCATCTTCAACCTGCTATACCCTACTGGTCACGGCTTCCCACTAGGTTAACTCCCTGAATAGAGTCAGTCACTAGTGAGCATCAGATTAATTTTCAAGTATTGGTTTTGTAGGATTTGATTGATTGTTGACAGGATTTCATCATGTGCTGATATTGATTAGAGAACCACTGGAAAACCTGGGAGTGCTGGAGAGCTGTTTCGTCCTAGTTTGGGACTCTTCATCAGTACACACCCACCGGGGTCCCAGTAGCTCAACGGTCTACGAGCTCGTCTTGTAACCAGAACGTCCTGGGTTCGAACCCCGCCGGGTGCGTATTGCTGAAGAGTCCCAAACTAGGACGAAACAGCTGTCCAGTACTCCCAGGTTTTCCGTTGGTTCTCTAACTGATGTCAGCTCATGGTGAAATCCCCCATGCAATCAAACAAAATCCCTACAAAACCAATACTTGATAATAAAATTCGAATAAATCTTCTGAAGAAGCTGTGGCGGTTTATACAGCGAAACGTTCGGAAACACAGATCTTGTTTTGATTTTTTCTTAAACACGCTGGGATTAATTTAAATAGCTTTAATAGTGCTCTTTGTTGTTATAATAATTGTATACTACTCATAATATTCTTTTTCTGCTGGCTATTTTTTTCTTTTCGTTTTTAGATTCTTAAAGCCTCTCTATCTGGTAAATATGCAGAACTTGGAAATGTGAATAAGTTGGGCAAGAATATTGATGATGCTGCTCAAAGTCTTGGACGCTTTGAAGACGCATTCAAACACATTCCACTGACACCGACAAAATTAAAGCAGAAAATGTTTGCATTTCCTAAGTTTAGTCGTACAAAAATTGCACAAGCTATGAAAAACACTCGTTTTCAAGGTAAATTTTATTATTGTTATTTTGTGTAATTGTCAACCGGGAATCCCAATTCTGTTTTATTATATTTAATGAAATCACAAAGTTGGTACATTATGTGGTCAACAAAAGATTCGATGACTAGGATACTACATGAACACCCAGACTGAAGGAGACGGTTATCTTAAGGTGCCACTATCCTTCCGAGTTGACTTGAAATCAGATCCGAAAGGCAGTGGAGTTGATGATGACCTCAACTGGTTCATGGGCCATTCAATCCATTCGGACTCTGGAGCTCATGCACTCTGTAGGTTCGGAATCAGAGTTTTTCAGCCTACCTAGGTGTGGACCAGCATGTTCACGGAACTGCTTGTAAGTGGTCCCCTCTCAATTTTGTGAAGAAAACCTCTGCCACGTGAAAGAAGTAATAAGGAATTTCAATTTGTATATGTGTTAAACTTGGGCACTGCGGTAGTAAGTAATTCCATATTAGTTTGTTTATTAGATGTATCACACAGTGAAACAGTATTACTTACTGAATCGATCGTCCCATCCTATGTCAGTAGAACTAGGATTGGTGAAATGTTTAAGTGACGGAGCACAAAAACTAAGTAGTACCAAGGAAAATCTAAGACAGGAAGTGATACATATAAGAGAAGCCTTGAAACTTGATAAATTAGTCAGGAAATATGTAGGGAAATGTAAAAATAAAATAAACAATGATAGAAGTGATAGTAATATTAATGACGACATGCATGTCGAATATGCGCAAGTCAACACCAAAAATAAGGAATCTAAATTATCAGTAGTGATTCCATACAAAGAAAGAACTTCGGAAACCTTACGCAGAATTCTTAACAAGCTAGGAATAAAAGCGCCATTCAAACCTATAAACTCAATTAGAAGTAAGCTATGTCGGCTAAAGGATCCCAAAGAACGAATTAAACAAAACATTTTAGTTTATTTAATACCCTGCTGTAATGATTGTGAGGTCAAATACATAGGTCAGACTAGTAGAAAAGGGGCAGTCAGACTAGCCGAACATAAAAACCTAGCAAAATCTAGATTATTGAAAACGGTTACCCGGAACGTTTCATCACGAAAGCTATGAAGCCCAAAACACAAAAACCATCCATGCTTACTGCTCCCAAGAAACTTCTCTATTTGAATTTACATTTCCAGTGAGATTCTTCTGCAGAAATACTGAGAAACCGCCTGTGCCGTTCACTGAAGAAAACCTTCTTCGCAGCGGAACTCAGACTAACTTTCTCTACGAAACCAATGATTCGCACGAACGTGAAGGATAAGCTTCCACTGGGGGCCTCATCAATGTGCATCTACCAATTCACCTGCTCATGTGGAGCTAGGTATGTCGGCCGTACCCAGCGTTTGCTATCCAAACGAATCAGCGAACACTTACCTTCATGGTTTTATAAAGGAGAAAGAAGATCCCCCCGCCACAGCTCTATCCTAGAACACTTGATCGAATCCGGACACCAAGCAAACCCACAAAACAACTTCTCAGTTATCTACACAATACGTGGGAATCTTGCCAAAAGACTACGAATTAAACTTCTTCAAACTGCAGAAGCAATGGCAATTCACATATTGAATCCTGAACTCTGCATACAAAAGAAGTTTGTTCAGTCACTAAATCTACAATGGTCCTGATCTATCTTAACACCAAATACGTAATTTTGTCTTACCTCTTTCTTCTTTGTTTGTCTATTTCTTAATTGCATTATTTTCTACCCCCACCCTCTATTAAATCTCTACATTCATGACGACTGTTGCTAACTCGATTTTCGTTTATTTTTAAGTGAATTCTACTCAGCTTATTAACTTAACTCTCATTCATTTTCAAGTGAATTCTACTCAGATTATTAACTTGACTCTCATTCATTTTTTCATTGAACCCTATCAATTAGATTACGTCACCCAACCTACTTTTGTAACTTTATTTTAGTTTCTAACCTATTAATGCCTTCAAAATTACGTAATTTGTTTGTCAAAAACTAACAATTGCATTAACACATCTTTGGAAATATTCTTTTTGTTGCCAAGACAAATTACTATAAATTTGCGATTTGTACAGCTTGAGAATGATATCGCCGAAAAGAGTAACTCTTTGCTGAACACCTTTTCTTTTCTAAATCTAGATTAGTTGACCCGAATAAGATAAGAAATCTAGAGCATAGTTCAGCTATACCACTCACTACATGCAATTACACACAAACATACAATAGGATGGGTGGGATAAGATGACAATTTCAAAATCTAATGTCACAGGATGGAGGTAGAGATTGATAACAGAAGCTTTGTTTATCTAATCAACTGAACAGAGTACCTGTAATAGGAATGATTCAACAACTGTCCCAGATATTTAGAAAATTCTACTACGCCTACGACAAATGGGAGAAAACAAAGAAAACTCAAATTTCGTAGTCGTGTGATTACAACTGATATGATTATGAACAGTAATAAATTGTGTTCGAAACGTCATCCAGTAAATAATACTGTTTCACTGTGTGATACATGTAATGAACAAACTAATATGGAATTTCAATTTGTATGGAGGATTTCACCATGAGCTGACATCAGTTAGAGAACCAACGGAAAACCTGGGAGTACTGGACAGCTGTTTCGTCCTAGTTTGGGACTCTTCAGCAATACGCACCCGGCGGGGTTCGAACCCAGGACGTTCTGATTACAAGGCGAGCTCGTAGACCATTGAGCCAATACTTGAAAATTTCAATTTGCTTTGAAAATGAAGTCTTTCAATATTTTCTGTGCATATATATATATATATATATATATATTCCGTTTACTGAGAGATTTAAGAGTTTGTTGACCGGAAGTCGAACCTTGACCTTGTGCGTGCCTGGTTGGCGGCAGGCATTCTAACCCTGGGCAACCGACGCCCATACACAAAGATTAATTTTTGGAAAGAGTGTAATGTATTTATTTGAAGTATGCGTTTCTTGGTGGCGATGGAATTCCGTTTTACTTTATGACAAAACAAATAACTGGGCTTTGAGCATTTTACCACATAATTATATTATTCCATTAGATTCCAGGTGGGACACAGAGCTTCAGTAGCACATCTCCATTCCATCTTGTACTCTGTTATCTGTTTTAGATGGCTCCACGACTGACCATAAGCTTTCATTCCCCCTTAACACGATCTTCTCCATGTCACTATCGGGCCTCCAACTCATCTCGCGTTTCTAATCTTGCTTCGAACGTATTGCCTGACGTCTGATATCATTCGACGATTTCTCTAGTCCAGCGTGTGTGTTCGATCCATCTCCATTTTATTCGGCATATTTGTTGGGCGATAGGTCGTTATCTGATTAGTTGCTGTAGTCCCTTGTTGCTAATTCTTTCTGATCTATAGCATGGGGGTGGAGACAGTTGTTAATGAAAACGTGCAGTAGTAGCCTGTTCGAAATGAAATCACTGACTGACTTGACACTGTGGTGAAAGATGGCTGCTAGCCAAATTGGTAGACAGTAATTAACTTCAATTACTGTCCACTAATTTGGCTAGCAGCCATTTCTCACCACATTTATTTACATATTATAGATTATTGGTAGCAGAAAAACACAGAAAGTTAACATTCTATCTCTTCGTAGCTGTGTCTTGAATGTCAGATCATCTATATGCTAACTGTATCCGCCTACGCAAAGATTGCTGTCAATCTTGTTGTTGTTTTCACATGACTAATATTTGAAACATAAATATTGATGTCAATTGAAATAATAGAAAAGATTTGTAACTCAGGTGGATGATTTGCAATTGATAGTGTTCTCTGAGCTCCTTGATGTCAATTACTGTCTACCAATTTGGCTAGCAGCCATCTCTCACCACAACACAAGTCTAATTGATGAATTCAAGTATATAGTGAAATGAATAGCCCACATACTTACCCTCTTAATGGTTCTAGGAGTTTCACTATCTAAGTTACGGAATAGTAATAATATGGGGAATCTTCTCGGTCTGAGCTGAGTGGAACTGCGTAATTAGCACCACCATTGGGTGTTTCAGTCATTTCCTGTCTGGCTAGCAAACACTATTGGTTGACTTAACGCGAGTATTCAAGTGTTGGTTTACAGGGATTTGATTGTTTACAGGATTTCATCATGAGCTGACATTAGTTACGGAACCATTGGAAAATCTGAGAGTATTGAATAGCTGTTTCGTCTTAGTGTGGAACTCTTCGTCAGTACGCACCCACCGGGATTCGGATCCAGGACCTTCTAGTTACAGTGGCTGAATGGTATACGAGCTCACCTTGTAACCAGAAGGTCCTGGGTTCGAATCCCGGTGGGCGCGTACTGATGAAGAGTCCCAAACTAGGACGAAACAGCTGTCCAGTACTCCCAAGTCTTCCAATGGTTCTCTAACTAATGCCAGCTCATGATGAAATTCTGTAATTAATTTGAGTAGTTTTCAACCACTCATAATATCAAACAACAGTATACACCATCACAGAATTTTTAGAAGTTCATCGTAACTTAAAGCTTTCCCGATCATCACACAACTTCACCTCCGTCGCTTTCATCATCCTGGTTTTGTCAGTTAGTCGGTTAGTTACAAAACGATAAGAATTGCACAATCTCTTCTCCTAAAAATAAATGGGTATTGATCTATGACATCCTGGGTGGCCATACCATCGAAGTTTAATGTCTTCTGGAAGCACATGGAACACAAAGAGCATTAGTGTTGCGTGACCCCAGAGCCCAGGCGAGAACTGCCGGCAGCTGGTGAATACGCGTCGATGATCTGTTTGAAGTGGTTTTTGGAGTTGTACCCGTATTATCGTCTTACCGGCCTAAGTTAAGTCGGCATACACAAATTTTGGGTTCGATCTTTTCTAAACCCTGTGCACTCTCTAGACCGAAGAGGCAGCACAGCTGACATGGTGGTTATCTGAGTGAAGCACCTTACGACTGCTACATCCCTACTCAGCAACAGTACAACTTCACCCACAGATCCTAAACACGATGCAAACACTTGACGCTGTGATGGTAATTGCCTTTAGTCTAACCGCTATCCGAATAACTTTGATTGGCATGGTAAGACCTGTAGAAACACTAACTTCAATATGGAGACCCCTTGTCTGGCTATCAGTCGGGATCGTTCTAAAATTCGGGGAATTTTCCACCATGTAAGATAAAATCATGATTTCATTTGCCAAATATTCAAATTTTCGAGTAGAACGTTATGAATTTAAAAGAAAAATATTAGGTGTCTCTCTATGTCTCCTATTCTTTTCTTCTTATAAAGAAAGATTTAGGGACTGTAGAATTGTTACATCATATATGATATAGCAAAATATATATATTCTTCACACCTGAGTATACAAATGTATACATTTTTGTCGTATTGATTTTCCACTTATATAGTTCTTACAGGGTTTGTTATCTCTTCAAGTGTTGTCTTTTTTTTCAGCGACAAACACACATATACATACACACACACATACAAGATACACAGGGTTGAAGGCAGACTTGCATGGCATAAAAAGTCTACTGTCTGTATGTGTGTATGTGCGTGCGTTTGCTTGTCATCTCACAATACACCACTAGATTTGTTTACGTGAACAGATCAAAATTTGCGCGCAAGTTTTGTTTAAGTTTATAAGTCTGGTAACTTTAAATATTATGTATGTATGTATAAATGTATGTATATATTTATATATATATTGGAAAAAGGAATTTTTTCCATTTCTCCCTTCGCTTCACCCCCCCCGTCTCTCTCACACCTAATTTGTTTTATATATCTTTTTATCTTTTCTCCTTTTTACGTAATAATAGAGGTGAGTTTCGATATTGACAAAGAATTGATTCAAATATGCGATACGAATAAGAGAAATACCTTCGCTGCTTACCTACTCAATGATAAGGAGAAAATTAGCCATCCATCTGAGTGTATATCAAGTAAAGAATTGGCGGCGATAATCACATCGATCGAAGATCATAAACTTTCACAGCTATCTAAACCTTACTTAGTATTCTCATCAAATATAGACGGTAATAGTTTGCGTACATTTTATGCTAAAGCAGGCGAGACTGACAATCCTGCAACAATTCTACTAATTCGTAGTTCTTCAAAACACAGTGTCATTGGTGCATTCTGTTCAGATAGATGGCAACCGCGTGTTGAGTCAGCCTACTATGGAAATGGTTTATGCTTTTTATTTCGTATTCAACCTGGCCCATTAACAATACATCGATGGATTGGTTCAACAACAAACGATCAAGCAATCATGAATTCACCAAGATATTTGCGTTTTCAACGTGCAACAAACAACGGCATAGAAATTGGTGGTGGTAGTATGAAAAATGATCTACCAGGGATTAGTTTAGATAACTGTCTTACAATGGCATCAAGTGGGCCAACAGAGACATTTTCTAATCCCTGCTTAATTACTGATCCAATTGATTTGACACAAACTGTTCAGTGTGAAAATGGACAAATTGGTTGTCTGTTCACTGTTGGTCTTGTGGAACTGATCGGTTTTACGGACCTGTGAAAGTCGATACTCAGCCGCATAGTTATCTTGATTGTCTTTCTTCTTCCTTCCATTCTTCCCTTCGTTTGTTTATTCAACTGTCTGCTGCAAATGTCTGTGTGTGTGAGTGTTTGGTTGGTGTGTTGTCCGATGTTTGGAAGAAAGCATTGTACTAGTCCATAGTTGTTTAAAAGTTTAGACTTATATAATTATGTTATCTGCTGAATTCGGAAACATTCCACTCATAAAACCAATGCCAATGGTGAGTTCTTCTTTTTATCGTCCAGGTGATAGATGCACATCTATCTATCTATGCATCTATCTACATATTTATCTACCTGTCTATCGTTTAATATACTTTCTAGAAAATATTTGAAATGTTTTACACGTTTGTTTGTGTTTTTTCTTGTTTGTCTGTTTTTATTTATTGTTCTGAAGCAACAACTAGTTTATATGTGCAATGAATTGAGTGATTTATCATTCGCGGAATCTCCTCATTTGTTTTGTTTTCATATATTTACACATATATTTATTTTTATTTATTTATTTATTTACTTATTTACACGCATTGTATTCTTTTCTAGTCATATCTAATTTTATGCTCAATTTTTCTGGTACTTATTTATTTATTTATTTAATCTATCTATCTATCTATTTATCGATGCATATATACATACAAAGGGAAACGAGTAATGAATTTATTATTTTACTCTCTTCAACAAGTTCTTATTGTTACTCTGTTATTTCGAACTATTTATCTCATTTTAGTGTTTTGCTCATTGTTTACGCAAGAAAAGAAAAGGAGCAGAAGAATTTTAATAAATTTATATATATATATATTATTTGTTTTTGTTATTCATCTATTAATCTCCGCCCACCAGATCCCCCCCCCCCACTGCCAGCCTCCGCCTCCGTGGATCTGCTTTCTATACTCCTAAAGTGCTTACTCTTACCGCGAACGGACTGATGTCAACATAGAACTTGACACAGAAGTTTGAGTTGCCACACTATATGTGCATGTGAGAAAATACATTTCACTGAACAAGCCACTCACTCTACTCGCACTCATGCAGTCAGCCAGGTGAGGGCTTACGGAGAGCTATCATCTGAAGTGGTGTCCATCAAGGATGTCCATTATCCCCATTTCTATTCAATTTCATCATAGATGTACTAATGGATTTAAGCCTAACTCACTTTAGCGACTTAGGGATTGACTTGCTACCAGGGAATAATCTCGTTGACTTAGAATATGCAGACGATATAGTTCTCCCAACTAGGTGAGGACGCTGACAAAGTACAGCAGAGTCTTCTGAACACCTTGAGCTGCAATTTACGAATGTTTGGCGTGCGACTCTCGCCCGTCAAATGTAAGATGATGGTGCAGGACTGGATTACACTGACTCCTAGTTTAGAAATAGGGAGTGAAGTGGTTGGTGGAGCATGTTGACCACTTCACTTATTTGGGAAGTACCATCAGCCCCAATGGGTTGATCTCTGACGAAATCTCAGCAAGGATACAGAGGGCTAGTTTTGCATATACCAATTTACGCCGTCTCTGGCGTAGACGTGATATCCGGCTGGCTATCGACCAAAGAGTGGGTGTACTGCTCATCAGTCTGTGAGACCTGGCAATTGAGAGTGGAAGACATGAAAAGCACGGCTAGCTGTCTTTGATCATAGGTGCATGCTCCCTATCTCCCGTGTGAAGTGGTATAATAAGGTGAGCAATATTGAGGTTAGGCGTCGAGTTCTAGGTAAGCAGGGGAAATCAATCGACGAAGTCGTGAAGTTACAAAGACTGAGATGGTTAGGACATGTGTTACGTATGTGTGCCTAGTTATCGCCTTCCTCGACAACGGGCAATGTTAGCTGACATAGGGCCAGTCTGGAAAAGAGCTAGCGGTGGTCAAACCAAAACGTGGCTTCATCAATCAATGAAATCCACAACAGTTAGTCTAAGCCAGTCACGTAGGTGTAGACTTCCTGGTTGGTTGGGGTCCTCGGGACGGTGAACACCAATGTAGGCTGGAGACAATCGGTGATTTAGTTCAAAATCATTCTCAATGGCTGGTGCAGATCCATCCACTCCTTGTGACTCATGATTTCCAATGAAACTGTTTTGTTCTTCGTTATTACTATTCCTTTGTCTCATATCCTTGTCTACTGTCTCTATTTTGCATTTCTTCTACTTTCTTCTCTTGCTTTGTGTGCTACATGTGGGGAGTGTGGCTAATTGAACTGGTGCACATATGTGCAAAGTTCTATGTCGAAAACAGACAGACAGAAGCCAGTAGTTGATGTAGTCCAGTTCATTGTATCATCTTGCATTTGACAGGAGAGAATTGCATGATATGCATTCGAAGATTTCTCCGCAAGGTGCCTATACGACCCTGCATCGTACTAGTGTCTTCACCTACGAGGATAAATCATGTGCATATTCTAAGTCAACAAGAATATTCCCTGATAACAAGTCAATTGCTGAGTCGTTGAAGTCAGTTAGGGCTAATGCCATGAGTACTTTTATGATGGAATTAAACAGAAGTGGGGACAGTATGCATCTCTGACGGACACCACTGGCTGTCATTACTTCAGCTGACAACCTGTGTGAGCTCTTACCTGGTTGTGTGAGTTTAAGTAGAATGCCTTGATTAATGCAATGTACTTTCTGCAAACACTGACATAATACCTCTTGGCTGACGCTTTCTTACTGACGGGTTAAAGTTAAGAAATTAGGAATAATTACTTAGATTTCATTGTGCATCAGTGGTTCAGCGACAAAAACTTAGTCTAATCATATCTCATTTAGTCCGGGTTCGATTCCCTGCTGACGTAATCCTAATCCTCGTTTGGCTGGTGGTAAGCCCGGTAATTAATAATAGTAATAATAATACTCAGTCAATAAAACAGAGTATCCTGAAATCTTGTTCAGGTGAAAGACTGAATTCCAATGGATTCGCAATCTAATTCGCAATGTCCATAAAATAAAATGCTTGGTATATGATGTGATATACATCAGACAACCTCACGAGAAATCAAAATCAGAAGAAATGAATAGCCTAGGGCATGTTGTCTACCACCGGGAAATCTATTGGGACTATGAAAGCTTTAAAAATCGCTACCCATAGGTCTATACTTTTCTGAATTAGGCCTTAGAATTTATTTTGACATTGTTGAAATCACGCAAAAATAATTTCGAAAATCGCAAAGAACGACTGATATCAGAAGCACTTCAAACTGTCTGATGAATAGGAATGATGGATAGGACGGACTTTGACCTGGTTCTAACAACGTCATCCCATCCACCCCCTCCATGTAGTGACAAAATCAACACAAAGGCAATAAGTAATCTCATTGTGCAAACACTTGCTATTTTCGTAGTTTCATAGGCTTATCAAATCCAACAATCTACGTATGATTTGTTATCTTTACCAATTCACTCCCTTGAACTGTCATTAAGTTTGCTATATGTAAACAGATTTTTTAAATTCTGGTTTAATATTACTTTATTAAAGTTGTTAGCATTATATAGGGAAGCATGAATAAAAATAAATCGTTTTTGATATTCAGATAAGAGGATTTGCGGGATTTCGGATAAATTACAGTGGCTTGGTTTTTTGTCTCGAACCAAAGTCACTTCGAGGATAATTGAAAATCCCATCCAGGAGCACTGGACACCTGCTTTGTCCAGTTTTGTTTTAAGGTTCTTGAGCCTTGCTCACTCACAACCCCATAGCCAGGGGTTGAACCCAGGACCTTCAAGTTACGAGACCACTGCCGTTCAGCCACTTGAGCCGATGGAATTCAGTGATCCCTGGGTTCTAACTTTGTCAGTTCGTGATACAGCACTGCTCTTAAGCAATACATTTGATAAGAATCCACTTCGCCTTGACACATGGCAGATCTCACTGGTCACGACTTCTCACTTTACAGCTTCAGAATAATTATTTAGATGCCTGTGCATCTGTGGTTCAGCGATAGTGTCTTCGTCGAACCATGCCTCACGTGGTCCAGGTTCTATTCTGTGTCAACATCGTACTAATCCTCACTTAGCTGGTGGCGAGACTTCTGGGGTGCCAATAGTTCCATACTGTAATTATAAACAACATCACTGCTACTGAAATTTCAAAGCACAAAGGATTGAAGTTGCAACAAGTTCCACGCAGAATGCAAAGGGATGAGGAAAACACAATTTAGATATCAAGGTGAATCATGAACTGGTGGCTAAAAGCTATGGGATACTAATCATCTGTTTTGGTCTTGTTTGGGACTCTTCAGCATTACACATCCATGATCTTGTCCCCTTTCGATTAGACTTAGCACCTCTCGGTTACAAGGAGGGCTCGTTACTCATTCAGTCGCTGGGAGGGAATCCAATGGTCTATGAATTCTAACTTTTCCCTACTCGCGATACATAATGCGACAATCAGCCAATGTTATCAGTAATTATTTGTCAGCTACTAATGAGCAGTAGACTAAGGATAGAGTTTTAGTAAGAAGTAGGATTCATCTAGTCGAGTGTTAGGATAGATATTCACGTTTGAAACTGACTGGCGGTGACACTTCATATACGGCGAATTTGCAGAACTGAGAATGCATAAACTACTGGATTATGTTATTGTTGCCAGAGTGTCATTGGGGTAACCTAATAACTGGTAGCTTTGCATTGGGTCATGAGTGTATGCTGAAGAGTAGTCCCAATCCAGGACGAAACACTCGTCCAGTACTTCCTGCTTTCCAGAGGTTCTCTAGCAGATATCAATGGGTGATCTAGTTTGTATTTCAGTCAAATCGCTACAAATTAACAGTTGTAAATTATTTAAAAATAATTGGCGTATGTGTACCAAGCAACGTGTGTTGTTGGTCATTACTGATGAAAGCTATAGAAAAAATCTGGATTCACTAATAGATGTATCTTCTTAGAATTATTAGTTGCACATAGATAGGAAGGAAAACATAATATAATGTGCGTCGGTGGTACAGTGGCTAGGACTCTCGCCGACCATGCACAGGTTCGATCCCCT